CATATTTCCCCTCTAATCCAACAGTTATATATTAATAAAATGTGTGCAACCGACACAGATATCATCTACAGCAGCAGTTTTCAATCAGTCCGGTCCAACCAATCAGTTTACCAGCTGATTGCACTTATCACTTCACCCCCCTCTGAAGGCATTTATGTCTGCACTTCCTCTTCACCTTTCTGTATCTCTCTCTCCATCTCCACCTCTTCCACACCACAAACAGTCCAGTTAGACTCCAAATTCGCCTCCACTGGAAGAGAATTCCCACTATCTCTCCATCAAAGCAAATCCCTCTGATGGCTTTGTGTTGGCTGATAGCAGCTCCTCTAATCTCAGTCCCGCCCCGTCCAGCTGGCTTCACCAGCTTTACATCATACGACGTCTCTGAGTTCTCCACCGCTGGTTTTGGACGACGAGGCAGAACCGAAAGGGAAGTGGATACTCAGTCGTACTTCTGTCTTTCCATTATCTCTCTAAAATATATATAAATATAAATAAATCCACGCAAGTCTTAGTACATGAGGCCCCTGATGTTTTCGTCACTTCAGTGGACGTTTGTTCATGACATCTTCATCTACGTCATTTATTCGCTAGGTCTGCTTGGTCACATTTGGCCTTAATGGATACAACAACCTTTCCAGCTCAGCCGTATACGTATAATATCGCCATATTTTTGCCAATACTCAACCATACTCATCTACACAGAATGTGAATCATTTACCTATAGTTTCTCATATGAGAAGTGATAACTGTTACAGATGCTGTGGTGTTTCACATCGACCCTAGTTTAAAAGCCACAGACACATCTCTCCAAACTTCAGTCTGGCATGTTTGGTAACTTTGGAGACTTTGGGAAGGAATGTGAAGTAAAGTTTGGTTGGTTTGAACAAAGTTCAGCTGCGTAGCATGAATGTGTCATAACCCGTCAACAGGCCACCGCTGGATGGAGTTCATCAGCCAAGTCTGGTTGGAATGCATTTTGGGTTGTACTGAAACCTTGTTGCATAAGTCTCCAAGAACAATAACAAACTTTTCTTTTTTGTTTTACTGCTGCTGCTTTTTCCTTCATTTTTTGTCTTCTTGTTCTCTTTTACTTCCTTTATTATCTAAGCTCACTTAATCTCACATTAAGAAATGCACACACACACAAGCGAGCTGCGGCGTGCTGAGTGTCCCGGTGTCATTAGCGATGTTAGCAGGACTCTAATCATTGCTTTTGTTTACCCATCAGCCAGATGGCTGCTGCACTGCTGACTGGCAATCACACACAATGACAGACTCTCTCTCTCTCTGTCTCGTCTTGTCTTTTCTCTTTCACACTCTCAAACTTTCCCCTGCCAGCTCTTCCTCTCCCTCTTTCTATCACTGTGACTCTTACTTTTTAGTCTTTAAGTTCTGCAGCAGTGCAGAGCTCAGAGGAGACAGAATCAGGCTTGTTTGTGGAGAAAATGAACGAGTCTGAGGCTTGCATCCCTTGCTGTGTCACCTCTCAGTCAAGGTCTGATGTAGCTTCATACTCCTGACAGTCTGTGCACTCCCATAAACACTATAAAGGCTGGGTGCTGAATCCTAAATGTGTAAAATCATACAGCAAAGGACTAGGACAGCACTCCTATTGGACTTTTTAATTTTGCCACACAGACGTTTCAGGCAAGACGTCGTTCTTCAGCATGTTTACAACAGGGGGAGCTACAACCACAGGCACAGAGTCACATGATGTAAAGTACATAAAAACACTCAATTTGCACAATATAAGAAATACTTAATAAAAAACAAGTTAAATCTCCTCATTCAAGGAAGTGTATCCAATACGTTTCCCTTTGGAGGAGGATCCGGTCCCTCTCTGTGGCAGTTTCCCAAAAAGAACAAAAATATCAATTTGCTCCATAAAGTCGTATCTCTTGTCTCAGCTTTGCTCTTGAGACATAAGGGATGGTTTTACTTCCTCCGGCCTCTAAAAATGATAGAAATTAAAGAGACTCATGAGCCAGTCTCTACACACTTACTCAATGGAGATTGAAACAATCTAAAGTCTTCAGGGTGGTGACATGCTAAAGTCGGTTGTCATACCATATGACGTTGCTCCAGACATCCATTTTCAATTATTTAAGAAGCTCTCTGTTCCACTTTATCTCGAGTTTATTTCACTACACAGGAGAATGGAGGACGAGCAACTACTTTGCATTTAAAAATCCGGTAAGAGCAGAGATCTTCAATCTAGTATTGCTAGAATAGAAAATTACTGACATCTAATAG